GCTGAGCGCATATATGTACTCAACGATGAAAGTGAGTAATCACTGACACTAAATCCGCGCACGGCTGACATTTCTTAAGTGATTATGAGCGGTAACCGTCCTGAGTAAAGCGTCGAAATATATCATCCTCCAAAGGAATCAACATTTGTAATTTTCGTAATTTCCTCGTAAACAGTTATACGCATTAACCCCGAGAAATGTACCAGTTAAATATAGTCACGCAATCAGTTTCAGACATGGATTTTACACGTACGTGTGCTCTCATGCATTCTTCAAGCCTCAAGCCGCAAAATTACAGCGTTGGCCGCTTTATTCTCGAACTTGTAACATGTAACTTGTACAGCTTAAATTGTAGTCGCGTAGAAAATTGCATACTGATATAAATAACTGATGTTATTACGCTGCTTATTCCACGTTTAAACAAGCAAAGCTAATTCTAGCGCTATAATTGTGTGAAAAATTGATGGCAACTTTCCGGCAATTTTTAAATACGTAAGATGAAAAATGGAGACACGAGAGATAAAATGACGAAAAGGCTGAAGGGTGGTGTACGCCGAGTGACAGTGGTGCGTGCGTGTGTGCGTTTCGCAAGGGGTCGCCTTTAATAATGTATCATAATATCACCTCGTTTCTCCCCGACTTCAGCGTATATACGCGACACGTTACGACCGTCTCACCCCGTATATTACGGTTTACACGTGCCTCCGTGCCGTTTTTTACGTGCCCGCGCGAATTACCGTCGTATACACGACGGGATCCCGGCTGTCGCACTTTTTCACGAGTCATGACTGTTTTTCGGCTATGACTGTAGCGCGAGGAATTAGATGCCCGACACTCTGTCGGGCTATCAAAGCACTCGAAACCGTGCGTGCCGTTACTTTCAAATTAGTAACGACTCAGCTTAGTAAAATCTATGAAGAAATTTAGTCATCCTAATGCATTACGTACGGCTCATGAATGCTTAATCTACGATGATGGACGGTATATAAAGAATGTAGTTTTACGGCTCATCTTCAAGGCTTCTTCATCGTTCGCGTGTCATTTATGCTCAGCTTAAAAAATCGACTGCTTTAGGTTTTATAGCTCTCCCCCGTTGCACCTTTTAAAGACAAAATCATTTTTTCAACGCGTATATCCTCGTTGCGTATCCCGTACGAATTAGATTTCTGGCGCAAAGTCGTCGTTAACATTTACCTAGCTAATATTTGTCTCGTTAACCGGCAGCGGCGCAGCGACGATAATGGTAATTGATAAGGGTAAAGCGTTCGCCCGGATTAACGCATTAAGCGCCACCGCTGTCGGCCGCGATATTCACGAGTATATACAGCTGGAATTTCGCTGCTCGGTAACATGTCGTTTGCATATAGTTTAAACTTGCTGATATGGGTCTGACTGATCTAATTCATTTCTTCAATAATATAAATTACAAGGATAAGCAAAAGTGCCTCTTGTCTCATTTTTCGAAAAACATTCTCAGAGGAATCACTTTGCGATTTGATTTAAGTCTTTCGAACTTTAAACGACTTTTATCTACAATTCGCATCAGATTTCAAAATATAGAATTTACAATTGTATATGTTGTGCATTTTAATATTTATATTTTTATGTATGTGCATATTCTCTGCATGATTCTTCAAGTATTTTTCATGTTACATGGCGCGTATTAAAATAATAAATAGAATTCTATATTAATTTCTTATACGGATAGCAGATAGTGAAACGGGCTTAAGGCGTAAACAATGTTGCGTATTTATGCTGCAAATCGATTTGTGATTTATAAGAGTTAAATCTACTTGGGATTAAATCTCACGTATAAATTCCTCCAAGGAAGGGACACGGACGAAATATTACCGGTCGTCGCTCGTTACATCGTCGTCGGTCCTCCGGGGACCGAGGTGACCCATATTCGCATCCGAATTCAACGTCTCTCGCTTCACTCGCGACGGCGCCACGCTGCCGTTTCAGAAAGTTCGACTTTAGAAGCCGAAATTCATTAAAATGCTAATGCGCGAACGAGAGAAACGAATTTCGCTCGGTAACCCCCGACCATCGAAAGGGACTTTTCCCGAGGGCACAAGGGACAAGAGGGAATAGGACCATCGCGTGGAGAGGGAGGGAGGGACAGGAGGGTAAGAACTGAGAGGTAGATAACCAAATTAGCCGATACTCTGATTTATTAGCGGCGTCCCTAAACTCTGACGGGTGGATCTCACTCGTTGCCAGCATCCTCGAATATTGAGTTATTCCGCACATTATAAATGTATGACACATAGCTAACTCATCACAGATTGACCCTCTCAGTTCCCGGACAGTGTCAATCGGTGACTGGAAGTAGTTCTCAAGTGTTAGCTACTTCAGTTTTAGTGAAGTTAGATGGCAATGTTATAACATCACGGCTGAGAGACTCAAGTATCTATCTTATCTGTGACAAAGTTGGATGAAGCAAAAAAATCTTTTCTGTTGCAGAGATCAGTTTGTTAATTTAAATTAACAAACAAGCGCATTACAAAATTTATAGTTAATTGCGTTTGCGTTAAAAATGGGTTTAAATCGTTTTATATATAATTGTTTTCTGTTGGAGACACATTTTTCATTAAAGACGCGAATGTAATCCCTTTACTCTTTTTACCGGAGAATGCTATGTATATAAAATGCCGGAAGCGTTTCGCAGAGCAGGCGACTGCAGGAAATTCCGCTGCGGTGGCAAAACTCGTCCACGCGGCGGCTCCTCTCGCATCGCGAAATTTATCGTTAGCGGCGATCGACGAAGGTAATAGCCCGTGAACTACCCAATTTCGTGTGACCTTCGATAGACGTTTCCATCCCCGTCGAGATGGCGCGGCCGAAAGGAGCGAAGGGAAAAGGAAGGCAGGCGGGTAAAGAGGGTGGCCCGCGCCATGGCATCCCTCGGGTTTCCGCCCCTCTGGCCACGGTAGTCGACAACCCCTACGGATAGATGGAATTGGATCGGAGGGGTAGAACCGCTCGTGGAAGAGGGTGGACAAGCTCACCCCCATTCTCAGCGCGGGCGGCGTGGGAGATATAAGCCTATGTGTTGCCCCGTACCTGCTCTCTCTCTCCCCAGAGGAATATGTTATTAGGCCTTCAGGATTATGTACTTCTCGATAGGAAGGAGCGTGATAGGCGCGAGAGTGAGCCAATGTGGAAGCGAGACACGCAGAAATCAACGAGGAATCGGAGGAACGAGAGGGAAGTCTTGTCGAAAGATAGCGCGGGATCGAAAAAGAGAAGAAGAGCGAAAGGAAGAGAGAGAGAAAGAGAGAGAAGGGGAAGGAGCAGCCATTTTAATGTCCTCCCCGACCTGAGAAGCTAAACCTGACGGGCTAAAATCCGATGATGCGATATACTTATGTATGCGAGGCGAATGTCGAGGAAGCGAAGAACGAAATTGCGTATTTCAGCATCGTTTGAAGAACTGCGCGGTTAGAAAAAGATATATACTTTATATAATATATTCTAGAAATTTTCTTTCAGAATGTCTCATCACAGGCAAAGTAATTGTAGCAAAGATCTCGATCATAATCTAGCGAAGCGTTCAAATAAAAGATGCGCAAGGTAAACATCGAGGCGATAGAAACGTAACACCGCTTGCAAAAATATATTTTTTAGTAAATCAGGATATTTTTGATATTAGATGATATTTGACTGTCGATCCTCAATTTTCCTTGCTTCGATCGTGGGTATAACTAAAACGTTACCCGAGGAAGATAAGACACGTGTCAGTGGACGACGAAGAAACGACGGTGAGCGCACGTGAATACACACGTGAATCACTCGGCGACGGAAAGGAAGAAGAGGAGGAAAAGGAGGAGAGAAGAACGATGGGCAGAGAAAGAGAGAGAGAGCCACGGATAAATGGCCGAGTAGGCAAACGAGGGACCGAGCGGCCGAAGCGGAGCGGGCAAGGCCAGTGACATGTCAAAGCGCGAACAGCTGTTGAGCTCGCCGGCGAGAGCGAGAGAAACTCGCTGCCGCACCGCGCGCGGAGCGGGAGAGTGCAGGCGAGGAACGAGAGGGTAAACGAGGGAAAAAGAGTTACGAGCCACGCGGCTCGAGGACGCACCCGCTCGATGTGCGTACAGTCGGCGTAGCTGGTTGTCTCTCCTCTCCCCGAAGCAACGAGTAATTTAAGAGCGTGTCGCGCGCTGTTGCAATGGCTTCTCGTTGTACCTTGTAGATGCACTTAGCACGAGCAGCGAGCACGGCACTCTAATTTAACGCATACACGCGTCCGCGAGATCAGGGTGGGGTTCCGATCCGCGGCTGTTTTATCGCTTTCGACATCGAATGATCAATTGGAAAATTAATCTGCTGTAAGTTGATAATTGCGCTGATGAATAGCGATTGTGTATCATGATTGATATTTCGTGCTTTATGTCTATTAAAAAGCATCGCCCTTGGTAATACTACGATGTCATGCATTATTTATGGTTTCGTTCGATGGCATCAGTAAAAAGTTTTACAATCAAAAAGTCGTAACTTTTTAAAGAAATTATTTTTATAATAATTCTTTCTTTCCGAAGGTACTTTGTTCAATAGTTATAATACAAAAATTAAGTATAAAACTATACGAATTGGAGTCACAGATCTTTTGGATCACTAATAATAAAATTGGAAAATATTTGTAACTAGCTGTTATTAATGTCCAAAAATGTAGTTAATACTCCTTATTGATGAGTTAAGCTCATTCTAATGATACTAAATTTGTACAGATAAAAGCCTCTTCTAATTTCATAAAATGTATTACTTTCTGTAAAGAAAAGTTATTAATCACTCTTTACAGTATCAATTTTAAACGCTTTATCCACGATAATCGCCACGAATAGAGATCCGATTTTGATCGTTGCGATTGCATCGCGTTCATACGTAATACCCGTCCTCCGTACAGTTACGTCGTATTTCGCACCGCTTGCAGAGTTATATTTATCTAATTTTCTAATACCGGAGCCCTCACGAAGAAGGCACGCTCTTTCTCAAAGCGTTTAGGAGCGCGCGGGGCGAGGGACGGCATCGAGAGTTTCCCAGTGTGTCACGCGTTTCTCTTCTGCGCGCCGACGCCTTCGACGAAGATCATGAAGACGAAGACGAAGACGACGACGGCGAAGAGGACCACGACGACCGACGGCCACTGCGTAGTTTCGCGACTGGAACGCGGCCGGTTCGCGTCGTTAGTCGCGCGGATACACGCACGCGTCCACGCGTCGGCGTGCAGGTGCAGCCTCTGCGCTCCGGGGAAATACGCGCATATACGCATGTTAGGTACTTTGAACCCCGGACCAGCGTCGTCTTTGTCACAAGCGACTGAGCCAGTGGTTTCTCCGCAGGGGGTAAGAGAGGATTTGACGCATAGCCCTCGCGCCTCGTTATAAATAGAGAGTGGATTTCACGCGCGAGGCGAATTCGGAAGCTCGCTCACGCCTAACATTACCATGCGTCTCATCAACCTCGTTTGTTCTAATATAACTTTTTGACACAAAAAGATATCTTATGCACTTCACATCACGCTATAAGCTGAACGAGATAAATCTCTCAGCATCAAAAAAGGGAGATAAACGAAGATTTCTCAAGCAGAGAAGATATAAAGAGATTATTTTGGCAGAATAGCATCAAATGTTCTTTTTAAGCAAATAGGGATTTAAGATATTAAAGATAAAATTTTAACTTTAGAAAAATGAAGGATTAAATATACAATAGTTTCACATAATTTATGTATAGTAAGGTCTAATTCGATAAGTCATAGAATTCTGACTTTTTAATAATTTATTTTAATAAATTATATTATTAAAAATCCAGCCTATAATAAGTCAGAATTCCATGATCCATCGAATTAAGAATTAATACACCTTACTGTAAAAATTTAATGTATCACATAGACATAATTCATAAAATTAAACGACTAACATAATAATATGAATCTTCTATTTTTACTTTCTATTTATTCTATTGCACACACATTAAATCACTTCACTTTTAATAATTATATAACAGCATGTTCGAATAAAATTTAAAAATATATATGAGACAAACCCTCGACCAACGAGCTCATTTCGAGCGATCATCAAGAGTGTAAATTCAACTTTTCGGTAGCACGAGAACGACACATGGACGCTAAAGGCGCTTGTCGTTAAACGCGGGCGCGCAATAAGATAAATTAATCAGCCGTCGCCCGGCAGCCAGCATATTTCTTTTCAGCCGTCCACCGAGGAACGCGCAAAGGCGCCAGCCGCCGAGACACGACTTGGCGATGTTTCCCTGCCCCATATCACGCCTGTGTTTTCGTAACCCGGAATCTCGCGCGGGTCATCGGTTTTGGTTTAGTGTCGTCTCGCGACGACGACGACGGCGGCGGCGAAGAGAGAAGCCGTATGTTCAGCCGCTGAAAAACGGCACGAAACACATGCTGCCGCTTCTCCAACGCTCCCTTCCTACTCCTTCCATGCCATCGGTATTATACGAGCTCGTGGGCGGTGGCAGAATTTTTCTTATGGGATAAACGCACGAACGATCGCGGAATTTTTCTTATTCGTTTCTCTTTCTTGCTCTGACTTATTCTTCCAAAGGTACACACACATACTTCTCGAAAACATTTCGACTTAAAAGTGTCGACGATATTTTCGCGATCGTATTCGCGAAGGTTCTTAGTACCAATTACACGGAGACATTTGTCCAATGGATATACCTCTACTGAAAACATCCTCTGAATGTGCTGCATGGAACACAGCCAGATCGACACTTAACAGCTATCACGCGCTTCGAAAATGTACGAACAGCACTTGCGGAATACTTGATGCGTGCTGCGAGAGTCGGAAGGTACCGGTCGGCAGATGCGAGAGTGAATTTCGAGAAGTCGTAAATCGTGTATTGTTCAGGTTTTCTGTATCTGGGTTTGTCATCGACCGATCGACAATAGGCAGATAGAGCGACACGGTGCAATGCGGGAATTTCTCGTTAGGGACTCGAGCATCGCGATCAACATGGGCCCGATCGTGCTTAATCGTCGTCTCGCTGAAATTCGTTTCTCGTGGTACTCGAAAATCGAGTGGCGGCGCAAACGAACAGCGGGAAACGCTCGCGCTCGTAGGAGGTCGATCGATCTCTCGCGCGTGCATTCGAACGTTTAATCGGCACGCAGCATTGTGCGCGCACAATCGGCCGTGGTGCTGCGTTCTCGAGAGCCGCGCGCGCAATGAAAAAGCCCTCGACTATCGGTCCCGATTATCTTTCCTGTCCATCTAATGTCTTTCTCCTCGTGTCCCGCTCACAATACGGTCGTTAAACAGAATGAAATAGCGCGAGCGTGCATGTTTTTTTTCTTCGAAAAAACTTCATTCTCTCATCGATATGTGCGCTGAATGCACGACGCCGTATTATGTTTCTGAATAAACGCGTCTATAACTTGCGTCGCAAAAATATTTAATTAGTTTCCTATTTTAAAGCTTGAGTGTAAGCCGCCGTAGATTTCCGTAAAAAATATTATCCACTTGGATCTCTCAAGTTCTATCCACTCAAACGATGAGTATATAGCACCAGACATCCAAGATGGAAATCGGCGACGACAGGTTACTTGCGTTAGAGACGTCATAAATAATACCGCGTGATATGGGACAACACACATACACACACGCACAACACGGTGTCGGAATACATTAAAAGAGGAAAAGTCGAAGGAGCATATTAAGCGCGAAGAATGGCGAAGTTGGCATTGTCTCTTTTAAACTTTGGCGATCGATCTTCACGTCAACCCGAAGGGTTCCACGCACCTTTTTCAACCCTTCGGGAATCGGGGCTCGTCTTGAAAGAATGCTATTAACCGGCGTTAAGTTCGTTCGAGCAGTTCTTTCGACGCGATCGACCAGCTGACCTCGAGCTGTCAAGTGCTCGCGCGACAGGCACCCTAATTGTTTCTAATTAGCGACCCGGTCATTAATATAATCGTCTTAATAACTCGCGCATAATAATTATCTTCGACTGCCGAACCCATTAATCTTGAAGACGACGCGCGACGTCGCGGTAGGTTCGAGTCGTCAGGCAGAATTTCTAAAACGAGCAAGTCGACCGTCGCCTAGCAGCCGCGTTGCCATCTCTGTTAATGTCACTAATAATGTGTCATCCGAATAGCCGGACGGAATCCCTCCGGCCTTATCTATACCACGCGCATATTCTCGTTATCGAATAATCACGCGCAATTCGCGGCTTCGGCAGTACGTAGTAATAAATACATTGCAGCCGTGCAAAGGCTTAACGAGGCTCGCATCGCGTGTTTCGAAATTACCGAGCTAAAGACTCGTAACGATTATGCGATAAGAAATGTAGTTAGAGCAAATTTATGGCGGCACGCAGAAAATACATAATTACGTAAAATAGAATCTCCATTGCACGTCAAGATGATCGGTGAGTTCTGGCTGGTTTCACTAATGACAATGACTGTTTTTATTACGTCACGCATGTTTCAGTTCACAGAGCGGATAGTTAAAAAATAAAATTCTGCGATACATATCGCTAATTAAAGTGACACATATGACCGCTATATATAATCGAGATATAATTTGACAATGTGCTAATTGTGCGATTACTCTCTCTTACGCGGTATATATTTTTCATTTAAGAATACTTCTCGAAACTAACTGCATAGTTGGTTCTCTCTCGAGCTGTAAAAGAGGGCCGACAGGTAGAAAACCGCTCGAGAGATCTAGACCAAAAATCATCGAGGATCTTTTTTCAAGGAAACGGACGGTCCCTGCTCGTTGAGCCACGACAATGAGGTTTCCTCGCGCGCTTCATGCCGGGACGTGATTTTCTGCGTTTCTTGTAGCCGGTTTACCCCGCATTCGTTCGACCGACCGGTCATGGCCCTCCCCCACGGACGTGAGATCCGAATGAATAACTTGAATGGCATCCTATGTCGGAAGGACTGGCTCTTTCTTTCGGTCCTCGATCCTTTTCACCAAGGCATCCTACGGAGAACCGAGCATGGAAAGAAAGAAGAAAAGAGAGAGAGAGAGAGAGAGAGGAAGAAAGAAAGAGAGAAAAAAAGACAGAGAGAGAGAGAGAGAAAGAGGTGCCTTGAATGGCCCATCTCAAGGGTCTTGAGTTTCAATGCATCGTCCGATCTTGCGGCAGAAACGAACGGGTACAAGCTGAAGAACGACGAAAGGAGGGAAGAAAGCAATAAAAAATCAAGCGAAAGAGATCTGAGACTGACAGGCCCGTCGGGGATTCGTCAACCGAGATATGATTCCGTCCGCTCGCCAATTTCGATGCGCGGTAACGCGTCACCTCGAAAAGTTCCGCACATGCTCGGCATGTGAAAAAAAAATCTAACCCACATTCCACTCGAGTTCTCTGCTTGACAAAATTTTCTCTCTATTTCTCCGCTATTCCATATTTAACTTGATTTATTTTAAAAAGGTGCAAACTATATTTCAAAAATTTCGTCGGAATAAATATGCCACGTGAGAGAAGAAGTGCTGATCCTAGATTAAATTAATGTAGAATATTATGTAAAATTATTACCTTCAATAAAGAATATTCATATTTTCAAACGTTGGAAATAATAATATTGTGTATTGGAAATAATAAATGTATATGTATAATGTAAAATATTACATGAAATATTATTCTTTCAGGGAATCGATATTTCATATCGTATATCGTTAATGACGGCAAAAGGACGGTTTAATTATCTGCAATACGTTTTCCACGATTCGAGGAGACCTTTCTAATGGGGCGTACCCATGACGTCGTTGCAAGCCACGTTTTCGAGGCGATGGCGCATTTAGCCTCGCGAGAGAAGCAAAAAGACCATGCGTTTACATACACGCGCACATACATATGACCGTCCAACAAGCTTAGGGAACGTACGGTTATGGGTTTACGCAGCATATACGACACAACGGCGATAGACGTAATTTTCATCGTCGGCTCATCACGGTAATGGGAGAAACTACATAAGGCCGGGTGAGAAGAAAAAAGGCAAAAAGGCAGAAGGAAAACGTCGGAAAGCGCGGGGATTCTGCGGAAAGGGAAGAGCGAACGAGGGCTCCGAAACAACACAAGGCAGGCCACGTGGCCATTCTGCCCCTTCTCGGTCTCTTCTCCTTTTCCTTCCTCTCGCGATCTCCCATTCTCCCTCTCACCAGCACAAACGTCGGACCACGCACACGAAGATAAGAAGCCATGCGTCAGTGAGGAAACACATGAGTCCCTGTCATCTGGCCAGCAAGTGGTCGAGACGCGACTCTAGAAGAGTTTACTAGGCGACCCGCGCGTACGTCATAAGCGAGAGAGTTGTTTTTGGAACACGACTCGACCAGGCGCACGGTACCGC